TAGTGGTTGAGTGGAAGTGAAGGTGTAGGATGACAAGACGGGAGAATGGTAGATAAAGTTTATGGATTTGGGGGATGACAAAATATCTTAGAATTGTTTGTTGTATTGGTTATCTGAATCTATCGAGTTGTACCTTCTAAGTAGATGAATTATACCTTAATAAAGCTGCTATAAAATTTTTTAAAAAGGCAAATTCAATAGCAGAAACAAAAAACTTTAAAGAAACACTGGCTCATCACAGTGATTCCAAGAGCAGGGCAGGGCTCACTTTGGCATCAGATACAGAAGCAGCTTAGCCATGGTGTCAGATACCTCCCTTAAAGGCTGATTCTGCCTCTAAGTAGTCACATGACCTGGGGCAGACTCTGGATTTCTGTGTTGGCATCTACAGTATGAGAGCAATTAACTTTTTCTCTTAGACTATCATGAGAATTAGCAATTATACACTTAAAGTGCCTGGCATATTATACGCATTCAAGACTGATGATGTGTATTTTTAGCTATTTTTACAATTGGGGTGTGTTTTAAAAATTTATTTGCAACATTGAGAACTGCCCCCTGATCTTGGGAATGGAGCTCAAGATCCCTTCCAACTTTGGTTTGCTTCCTGAGGAAGTTCAGAACATCCTATTTAACTCTCTATATAAGGAACTTTTTTTTTTTTTTTATTAGTGTGTTAGTTTGAATTCTGGGACCTATGAGAAGCAACAAGGACAAAGTGGATAAAGACTACAACGTGCCCCATCCTGTATTTCAACTTAAATAGATTCTTATCTTTATTTTTAAGTGATTGCAAAATTTTTAGAGTTTAATTTTAGAAACTTTAAAATTGCCAGCACTCTATATAAGAAAAAACAAAAATACTCTGAGATTCTATCATTCAGTGTTTTCTCCTTGGAGAACCTTCAGAACAAACCGTTTAGCCAGAAGTTTTTACTTACCAGTATGTCAACAACATTATGGGACATTACACTTTTTAATAAGGATATTATATCTCATATGATGAATATACCATATTTGATTTGGCTAACTTGCTATGATTGAAAACACTGATAGTTTTAAGCTTTCACTATTATAAATAATGGTGTCATGAAGTATCTTCACCATACACCTGGTCTTTAGCATTTTTTTATTTTAGGATTAATTCTCTAGAACTATGGAAAATGAGGTATGGCATTCATAAGATTTTTGATGGCCATTTGGTATATTGCCCTCCAGAAAGAATGCATAAACATATGCAGCCACGAGCAACATATGAAATGTCCTCTTTCCCTCTATATCTGCTAATATTGAATAAGTACCAGCATAAAGTATGATCTCTTTTCCTTTCCTGTCACAAGGCTCATCACTAACATTCTGATAACAGAAGACAGGTGAACATGAGAAAAATGTAGCTAATTTACTGAATCAAAATTTTATGTGAAAGGGGAGGTTTCAGAAATGAAGACCCAAAGACCCAGGGCAACCGATCTGTTCTTAAACTGAGTTGGATAAAGAGTGGACAGATATAGAAGTGCAAATACACCCAAGTCTATTACCATTATTTGATCCAGTGATGGTAGATGGAGTGGAAAACTCAGCCAGACTCTCTGCTCAGATTCATCCTGAACTCTCTGTGCAGCACTCCCTCTCTCCCAGATTTGGGTCAGAATCCTGAAATGACAATCTTCAAGAGATAAGGAAAAAAAGCGACTGTACTTAGTTTTTTACTTGCTTTCTGGGCATAGGATTCTAGTTTCCACAGTCCTCCTTAAGGAAAAAGAATTTATTTGTGTATGGCTCACTTTATGAAAGAGGGAAAGAACAAAAGAGGGCAGAGGACCCTTAGGCAGCCTTTATAAAATGCCCTCCCATGTTCGTCAGCTCAGAGTATTCAGTCTGGCAAGGTGCTATACTTTGGGGGTAACGAGTTCTGRGCTCCAATGTGCATAATCATGTTTTGTACTTGGTCAGTAGACAACATCAACATCTCACTAAATTTCAGAAACTATGTTTGTTATCACCCAACTCTGCCAGAAATCAAATGCCATCGTTCATGCCTCAATTCCCAAAGTACATAGGTGCTTTTTGCCCTGATATGGCCTTAAATCCCTTGCTTTTTTACTTCCAGAGGCATTTTCCCATCTGGGTTCTCCTAACCTCAAACCTTGCTTTTGTGTTTCCTCTTTGAAAACTGCTGCTGTTTTAAAGCTGTTTATCTCAGGGAAGTTTGGAAGGAAAGCAGTGTGATAGAATTGATTCTCCCTAATTTGTGAATAATTTATAGCACTTCAACTGTACTTTTTAAAGAGTCTTCTTAATAAGCAATTATAGGAGAATGTCTAGGGGTATTTGGGGGGGGCTCCAATAACAGAATGAAGTGGAGAAAAATAATAGCCAGGTAGAAAAAGAATATTTTTAGAGGGAAATATGCCATTTCACTTAGTTTGGAATTGATTCTAGAGTTAGCTCCCCTGTGTCAGTTGAGTTTCTTCTGGCTGTTTGCCTTACTATTCTGAAATCTCTAGTGGAAACAATTCTGAACCCAGCTGCATGATGGAATCCTTGGGATCTTTGAGCCTTCCAAGGCCTGGGACCACCTTCAGAAACCTGACTTAATTAACCTGCACTGGGACTCAAATACCATCAGTTTTCAGAAACTCCCCAAGTGATTCTTACATCAGGAACTATTGTTATATTAAAGCTCCTCTAAAGAGCTGGGATTTCACTCAGGTTCCTCCTGCAGAGAACAACGAATTATTTAAGGTCCAATCAAAAAGAAAAGCAGACCCCCCACCCCTACAAATGTGGACTGAGGTTGTGGGTCAGTGGTACTGTGCTTGCCTAGCATGCAGGAGGCATGGGGTTCCATCTCAGAACAGCAATAACAAGAGGAAAAGAAAAAAGGAAGACAATAACCAACAAAATAAGCCTCCATAAGTGATAACTCTAAAGGCAAACAGACTGATGTGATAAGGGGGAGGAGGTAGAGACCACAACAAATGCTCTTGTTGTGCTGACTAGATGATAGACCTCAAAATAGCAGGACACTTCCTGCAGCCTCTATACTTCTTCCTCACTGTGTTCTATACCTATCAGGACACTTGTCCTTTAGGAATACTTTAGACTCTGTGTATTGAACTAATTGAACACTCTCAGCCCGAACGGTCTCTAGCTTACCTTCAAATGACATCTCCTGGGTTATGCAGATGTATTCAAATGATATGCAAAATAAGGGGAAAAGAAAAGACCTACAGTTGGCTGAGCCCCCCAAAGGCTCCTGAAAGAAGTCAAATGTTCTTCACAAGGAAACACCTGACAGTCTCTACCTCATTAGCAGAGTCCCTGTAGCCAGGACCCAAATCTTGGCCTTATCTGAGGACTGCTGCCTTCGGGAAAAAGCAGGGCCACCCAACTGAGAGCTTTCTGAGTTTTCCCCTCCACCCCAAGCAGATGTTCAGGGCTGCAGCAGAGACTGACTGCAGGGGAACTGGCTAAAGCTGCAGGAGGGCCCATACATCTGGGCTGCTCTGAGCAGATGGGGCACAGCTGCTTGGTGAATACACAGCTGGGCCCCTCGCCTGGAGTGGGGCCAGTCTCCCTGGGCAGCTCATCTAGCCATCTAGAGCTCAGGGGCAGAAGCTCTGCACGTGCCAGTCTGAAAGCCTGGCAGACCTCTCATCTGATTGTATGTTCATGCCTTCTTCCCAGCTGGCTGCTCAGGGGCAGTTCCAGTACAATCTACCTAGGCTGGTCTATTTTACCTCCAAAAATAGCTCTTAATACGTTTGTGGATCTCCATTTTCAATGCCATTACCTTGGCTGAGAACCCATCATTTTGTCCCCAGGGACTTCTGCAAGCAATAGCTCTATCAGGTCTGCCTCCAGCCTTGACCCCTCCCAGCTCCTATCATCTGCTTTGCAGTCAGAGGATTCTTGAATATGCACATCCAAGCTGGTCCATTCACTTATTTCAAATGAAGAAACTGCCTGTGTGCTATTGTGATGGACAACTCTTTGTGACCAGATCAGTTAAGATGACTTTATTTCTGTTAGAAAGCACCTTGACCCAACAGGGCAAAATTTTAATAGATGAAAAATGTTTTAGAAGAAATCATTGAAACTCTCTGGTGACTAGTTCCTAGTGCAGTTTTCTCAATCAGGCAGGTACGCAGCATAATGTGCATCCAAGACAAGCAAACAGGAGAGAAATGAACTATACCTTCAAAAAGCTCTGAGAATTTTCCTGATGATCACATATAATCCCTTTCACAGTGATACAGAATTAGTATCTTAATATTTACAGATAAACAATCCAAAATTAGTGAAGATAGGTAATTAATACAGTGTCACATAATTAGTTGCAGGAAAAAAATTAGAAATGAACTAGTTTGTACTATTAGTCTAACAGGACACTCATTGGAATCAAGCTTTCTTTGTGCACTTTAAAAACAGTTTACCAGGCCGGGGATGTAGCTAAGTAGCACAGCATTTGCCTGGCATCTACAAAACCCAGAGTTCTATCTCAACATTGAAGGAAAGAAAATTTACTGTTTACTAAAAAAATGGGATATAAGTTGTTTGTAGAAAACTGTGAGAAAAATAAAATTGCCTGTAACCACACCATACAAAGATAAAACTGCTGATATTAGTTTGAGGGTTTTTTTTCCCCCTTAGCTTTTTCCTCTACAATTATATATCCATAGATCAATTAATATATGACACACCATTGGTTGAAATGTATATACAATATTGTGTTTTACCCTGTTTTTTTTTTAATCAAATATATCAGAAGTGATTTAATTGCTTAAAAAATGAAAGAAGAAAGTAGAACAGAATTAAGTGGTGAGAAGGAGAAAGATGACTCCCACGTAGCAGTTGAAGGTTTGGTTTGAAGCAAGTGAGGCTGGGCTGCACAGAGCATGCACATTGACCACAGCAGGCTGGGAAATGAGCCCCACTCTTTCCAAACCTCCCCAAATCAATCATCCCTACACTTGCCCTTCCTGTTTCTCCTGCAGGCAGCAACTTGAATGATGGCTTGTGGCATTCGGTTAGCATCAACGCCAGAAGGAACCGCATCACTCTCACTGTGGATAATGAAGCAGCATCCCCTGCTCAGGACACCACCCGGGTACAGATTTATTCTGGAAATAGCTACTACTTTGGAGGTAAATTCTCCAGCCTTTGAGTTCAAAAATAAATGGGCAGGGGGAGGGAAAATATAGTGGGCAATTATTTCTCACTTTGTCAATTAGGCAATTCTTCTGAAGTATGTGTGTGCACACACTCACACATCACACATACACACACAGAGAGAGAGACACACAAACACACCTAAAATAGAGTGAAGCAAAATCTTTCATAGCTGTGCAAATATAAATTATCTAGGACAGTGCTGAGGAAGAAAAGAACTTGAGCTATAAGTGCTGGTGTTACATAACACATCCAAAGGAGATTTTTTTGTAGCCATGCCAAGCTCTGTGATCGCATTGGAAAAGAGAAACTCAGCTGAAAACTTGGAGAAAGTGAACCAAGAGTCAGCAGTACCTGCAAGAGGGAAAATTCAGGTGCAGAGGCAAAGCCAGCTGCCCAGCCATCTAGGCTAGTTCAATGTTGTTTTGCAGTCTTAGCCACTGTCTTCCCTTCTCCACTTCCTCTGAGTACCTCCTTGCCCATGGAGAGGGACAGCTGGGAGTGGGGGGGAAGTAGGAGGCTCTGCAATGTGAACCACTTCACATTCTATTCTCTCTGATGTCTGGTAAATCCTGGAAATCTTTCTGATGACAGATACACAAGAACAAATTGGTGAGGGTAAATAACATATGATCGGGCATCTACTACATTTGTATATACACACATATACTCTTATTGAACCTTTCAATGTTATTTCCTTTATTTTAAAAAATAGTATCTGATTTCTTAGCCAGTTATTGGTATTCTAGAAACCATCCCTGAAAGGAATTTAAGCTTCATGGCTGTCTGACCTTGAGAAAGGCACCAATAATCCCTGGACTTTCTTATCTGAAATGTGGGAAAATAAGCTCAACTTCCAGAATTGCTAGGAGAGTTAAGTGAGAGCAAGGTTTAAATATATAGAATGGGAGCTGGGAGTGTAGCTCAGTGCTAGAGTGCTTACCTAACATGTACCAGGCCCGGGATTCATTCCCCAGCACCACATATACACAAAATTGGGCAAAATGGCACCTGTTATATGATAGAGCATGGAAAAATTGGCTTCAGTTCTTATAGATATGAGCATGGGGCTGGGATCAAGATTATAGTCCCTAACTCTATTACCATTACAAAATTGAATTATTATATAAAAGCATGCAGTGCATCCCCCACCCCTTTCTTTCTCACATCTGTACACATTCTCTCAAAGTGTTGGGGATTGAACACATGTTAAGTGCACACTCTACCATTGAGCTACAACCACAGCATCTTTAGTCTCTTATATTCACACCCTAGCATGTACAAATCACTTCTCTCCTCTTGAGGAAGTGTAGTTAAAGCTTTGAAATACACAAGGGACTATGCAAGGTGCAGCTTACATATTTGGGGGAAGGAGGAAAGTAGGAGAGAAGCAGTGCAGAGCAACATCTCTGAGGTTTGATTTTTAGCATAAGAAAGACCCTCTGGTCCTTCAACCCAACTCTTCTCCATGTGTGCAGTTCTGTCTTACCTCATTTGATTCATGCAGCAACTTTGTGAGGTAGCTAATAGCATTCCCCATTTAATAGATAATAAGATTGACATTTGCTGACATGAAGTATCTATCTATGTAAGGTGGCAGACCTAGTAAGGTAGTAGAGCAAGGACTCAAATACAGAACTGTGTTCTCCTCAGCCTGCTAAAGAAAGCAGAGAGATAAAAGCAAATACAGAAAAGGGTATTGGGGTCCCTGAAGATGTACATCACAGACTGCATAATTTTGCCCCACATGCACTATTTCAGCAACAGAGAAAGAAAAGTGCTCTTAAACTTATTCTAGAAAAACTGATTTCAAATAATTATCATTAAATAAGTGTCTGACCTGTCAAAAAGGCCAAATGACTCCTCTCATTTAAAGAAGTTCTCTTAGAGGTGGACTCTTCAGGGGCACTGGGCTTAGGAGATAAAGATTTATCTGTGATTTGAATAGTGTTTAAACAAACGCCCCATGCATAGACTGTAAACTTGAGGTGAAAAATGAGTTTCAGTAATAATAGTCAACTTACATAAATTCTCCCTACAGCTTCAATTAGAACTTGTAGCATCTCTCTTCATTTTATAGTGTGTCTGTGAGCTGTTAACCAGCTGCCGGCTTCAGCCCAGCAGTGACTGTCTATTAGAGATGGCTGAAATAATTCCCAATTATTTATGGGTTATTGCCATGTTTTCAAGCTTGCATTCCCATATGCTTTGAACCTATTAAAACCATTGAGATGGAGTTTGTAAAGAGCACAAGCACTCCTATACCTGCTTTGCTCTATACCTGTCTTAATGAGAAGTAGATATGCCCTTATTGGAAGCTATGCTAAATCATTGCAATGCATTTTTCTCTTTAAAAAAAAGATACAGCATTAACCTTTCACAAATGCTATTATAGATCTATAACTCTGTGCATTTAAGCCCTAGTTCCTTTAACGTCTGGATTTGCTTTGCACATGATTTCAAAATTCCAGTTACATTCCTGTGTGTACCTTTCTCAGAAACTAAGCCTGTTAATGCTAACAATTAACCAGGCAATGACTCTGCTGCCATGCTTACCCAAAACATGATTTCCTTTGAAAGTGTAATTCAGAACTGAATTGTGCATTTAGACATGTGTTTCAAGACAGAGCCAAGATTCCTGAGTAGTTACAATATGTTTCTTCCTTGAGATGAGTGAAAGATGCCATGCCAAAGAATGACAAATAGCTTGCGAATAAGAAAAAAAAATAAAATAAGAACAAGATAAATGTTATAGTGTCGGTATTCCTTTTAACACCCTCTTTCTCCATATAAAGTGATTGAGTATTCCCATTTTGTATCATTTCTGTCCCCTCCCCGAGAATGCTAGGATTTACAACAAAAGTACATGCACTGCGATGAATGAAAAAGTACCAAAATAATTAGACCTCAAGGTCTTCCATCAATAGGTCGCCAAAACAATGACTGATCATTTCAGTATTCTTCATCTTTTTTCTCTGTCCCACAGGGTGCCCCGACAATCTCACCGATTCCCAATGTTTAAATCCCATTAAGGCTTTCCAAGGCTGCATGAGGCTCATCTTTATTGATAACCAGCCCAAGGACCTCATTTCAGTTCAGCAAGGTTCCCTGGGGAATTTTAGTGATTTACACATTGATCTGTGTAGCATCAAAGACAGGTAATTATTGTCTCTTCTCCTCTGTTCTCCCACCCCCTTCCCATTCTCACTGTTCTAAATATGAGTTTCTTTAAGCAAAATTCTAATCCACCAACATTAGCCACATTAGACATAATTGAGTCGCCTAATGGAAAATATTTCTGAAAGGATTTCAGGCCCAGAGAAAAATGGTTTAAATTAGTTGAGTCTCTCTTCATGTTGACTTGCAGTAAATGGGATATGCAAATTAAATCAAAATACAAATTTGTGAAAGGATTAAAATTTTATGCATAAACAACATTTGATTACTTTGAAGTTAAGAGTAAAGCAAAAAGGAGGGAGGAATTACTTCTCTCCTGAACCATTTCATTCTTTGCTGCACTGGGTATCTTTTCTATCACAAGCATCTAAGCATCAGGCCTCCTGGGAATCTGACAGCAAAAGCTTTGGGCAGTGTTAGACTGTGCACAGCTGTAGCCTGGGGGAGGTTGATCTTCACTGTCATGATCCCCTGTGCGGTTTTGTTGACCCAGACCCTGGCTAGCAAAAATCAGCACTCTTATTCTGCAACCCATGGATCTAGCAAAAGCTTAGTTTTCTCCATCATTTCTCCTGGGATGTGGCTCTTCTCAGGTTGGGAATTTCTAGATTTAAAGATAAACTGCAGAAAACTGTAGAGAATGAATTCTGGATTTTTAGCAACATTTGCCATGTTCCCCCTGCAGCACCCACCTCCTTTATTCTTTTAATTCCGCTCACCCCAGTCCAAATAGCATTGATCCAATATGCTGAATAAGATCTGCTAAGTGCATGGGCTGTGTGTTGGTGATAGAGATCCTCTGCTCAAATTTCATCAGGGAATTAATTAGTTATTACAATAAATTGAGATAAATGACCAAGCAATGCACCCTTATTTGTGGGACACATGGCAGTGGCAATTTAGTCTTGCTCTAAGAATGAGATCAATGATGCTGAGTGGAATCTTAAAGGAGGAGGCAGAGTCGGGAATGGCCAAGGTGGGAGTGGGTGGGGATTGGAAGAACAGTGTCATGAAAAGGCATGGAAACAGGAGATAGCATGGCTTACAAGTATTAACTCAGAATACTTTTTTTGCTTTTAAAATCTCTATTATTGGAACAAAAGCATTTTATAACGGATGGTATGTAATAGTTTAATTGACAGCACTTATTTTTCTCAGTGGTATATAATTGGTGGTATATCTTATTATTCATGGTGTCTTTAGATTCAATTAATATAGCTCATATAGAAAGGATCAGTGTGGTGAAACACATGGCTTGAACTAAAGAGGTGGACCTGTTCTTCAATTTGTGCTAGTGAAATGTGCCTTCATGTTCTAGGCAAGAATCAGGAAGAAGGACTGGGATTATGGCTCAGCAGTAGAGCGCTCCCCTAGCACTGGCGGGACCCAGGTTCGATCCTCAGCACCACATAAAAATAAAGGCATTGTGTTGTGTCCATCTACACCAAAAAAATAAATATTAAAAAAAAGAATCAGGAAAAAGTGGTCAAATTTGCACAGTTGAAGGAATATTCCAGAACAAGTTAGAGAGTAAGCACAGATCTAGGAAGGTGACTGTCCATCTTTATCTGGGGGAGCAATGAGGAGAAGTATCAGGTCTTCTACCAAGTGACATAGAAATCAACTATGCAGAAAATAGTCTTTGCTAATGTTGGGAATGACCAATCAAATTTGGTGGAGCTTCATGTGCTTGTTTTCCTGTTAATACCACAACTCAGGGAATCACCGATAAAGCACACAGACTTCCTGGTTTGTATGCTTTATTTTTTTTTTTTTCTATTTGACCAGGTGAAAAAGTGGGTAATAAAATGTGTGCTTTGTTAAAATGCACTAGTTAAAGAACTCAGAAGAAAGGGTATTACAGGGAACAATTTCTCCCCTTTGGTCTTTAATAATGGTGAGATATAAGCATCCTACTTCATCAGGCAGCAAAGCCTTTTGCAAAGTGTGGATCAATACGGGGAACATTTATCAATAGGAATCTCTTTGATACCTTAATTTCTAATCAAGGAAGCTCTCATTATTTTTGATTACATGAAAGTCATTGCTATCTACACTGCATCATTACTTTTGTGTAATTGTAGTCCTGGGTAATTATATTACATACAATTGTGTTTTGTTTAATTGTATAATAAGGGATTGTGTTTAGTTTAGTGGATAAATGGTATGTTTTTCTTGATTTGCCAGACACTTTCTCTAAGAGAAGGGAAACCCATGGCAAAATGTTTGCTTTATGCATTATTGATTGAACCTATATTTAACACTTGTTGGAGAGAGACAGGGGTAACAAGGAGAGACAGGTGGTTTCTGAGTTTGGTGTTTCATTTATAATGTACAATTAAATATGAACACGATTTCAGGGAAATTGCAAAGTCATTGCCTTCAAGGAATGGACAACTTGGTGGAGAGGGAGGAGAGAATAGTGTGGCTGTTACTTTCCTTATCTGTGTTCCTGTCTGGAAGTTCATGGAGGGTGGTCTAAGAGTCTCTTCTCCCAAACTGCTTCCTGTCTCTTTCCTCAGAGGCTACAGACATCCAGGCCTCCTCCCTTACTTTCCAAAGCTCTCCTTCTCCTTCAAAGTGAAAAAGGATCATCCCTACCAGCCTCTCCCACTGGTCCCAATTATTACACATTAAAGGTCTTGGTGCTGGTCATTATGGGAAAATCAGATATGGGAAACCCATGGTAGCATTCATAGAAAAGGCATGATGGTTCCAATATCTTGAGAGATTCTCCAGGGAGGGTCCTTTGAGATGGTGGCTAGAAACTCTGGTAGGTACTGACTGGTTTGAACTGTTTCCAGTCTGCTTTTGAGATATTATCTTAACTAAAAAATGGAAGGTCCTTTCTCAGGAATTAAAATTTTTTTATTAATCTGCATGCCAGTAATGGGCAAATTACCAAATACCTTGCCTCTGGGAAGAAAGGAGGTGGAATAGCTGCCAGGCTTACAGCTCTAGCAGCCGGAAAGCATGGGTTTAGGCAGTTCCTGTGCCTAATTGTGCAAAGACAGAATAGGAAGAGACAGCTAGGATCCCAATAGACCTTTCCAAGGAGACCCCATACCCTTTAATAGTCCCTATTAATTTGGGAGATACAAAGTACAGCTCCTCTAGTCTCATGGTCTCTATATCCAAGCTCTGGTTCTTTGAGCTACATTAGTTCCCTCCCTTGAAGGCAAGACATTGTATTCTAATCTCTCATTGAGAAAAGGTACTTTCCATAATTGCCTCATTTGAAGAATAGCTATTTATCACACTCTCTATAGTTCAATCTCACAGAAAGGCATTGAGCGAATAAGTGAAACAAACATGTATATTTGTGAATAAGATACTGAAAGAGTTATAGAACCCTGGAAGTATAGAACCACAAATATCCCTGCAGTCAATAGCTTTCTGTCACTGTGACAAGATATCCAGAAAAATCAACGTGAAAGAGGAAACAAATTATTTTGATTAACAGTTTCAGAGGTTTCAGTTCCTGGTCACTTGGCTGTGTTATTTCTGGGCCTCTGGTGCGGCAGAACATCATGATGGAAGTGCATAGTAGAGAAAAGCTTTTCTCCTCATGGTGGCCAGCAAGCAGAAAAAACTTAGGGGACATAGACAAGGTAAAGCCTACAATGACTTGCCCCCAAGGACTTATTTCCTGCAACTATACCCCACCTCCTACAGTTTCTACCACCTCCCAATTGCCCATTAAATCATAAAACTATCAATGTGTTAATCCATTGAGAATATCATGATCCAATCACCTTCCAAAGTTCCCACCTCTGATTGGTGCATTGGGGAGCAAGACTTTAACATATGAGCCTTTGGGGGAACTTCCCTGATCTAAACCACAATAAGCTCAATTTTCAAAAATGGGGTAACTCTGAGCCAGAGATGTTTTTCAGCTTTTCTAAATTCACATACGGCTAAAGTTGCAGTCAAGAGTTGAACACTGCCAATGTTCTTTTCTCTGTACAATCTACTAAACAGGCACTGACCTAGAAATGTCAGTCATTGTGTAACTGTGACTCTAAATATGTAACACCACCTTTTGCTCAACCGGATAGATTTTTCACAAGTATGCAGTATGTCTTATTCTTTGTCATCCTTATGTGCCCAATGGGTGGTTCTAGTCAAAAGAGGGACAATTATTGTGCACTGTCAGGTAGGGTCTGAGCGGAGCAAGATGGGCCAGGTCCAGAGGTGGCCTGGAATCTAGTATCCTATGGAAAAGCCATTCAATGCCAGAAACAATCTGCAACACTCTGGAGTTCAAGTTATAGGACAGTAAAGACAGATATCAAATGCCAGCCAAGAATTCAAAGAGAAGTTGGAATCCAAGTACAAAGTCCAACAAGGAGTCGGGGGGGGGGGGGGAGACAAGGGTGCCAGTGAATGAGTTAGGGATGTCATACCCAGAAAGAAGCTTGGACCCCAGGGCAGGTGGCTACAGTTTTGAGAGGTGTTAGAATGCACTTAAATCCCAACCCACTGCTTTCCACCTTGAATGATGTTATGTTATCAATCTTTGTTCCATGTTTCGCCTCTTGAAAGACCCAGATCATAAAACCTCCCTTTATGTTGAGAGGTAAAAGAGAGTGTGATATCAACAGTTGCATATCTAGTATGAAGTAATACTCAGAAAATGTTCACTATGTTCATTGCCAAACCCAAAGTCTTTCCTGGAGAGAAGAGAGGTTCTGATCTCTTTCAATAAATCCTCAAACCCCACCAAGGCCAAATGATTCCCAATAGTTTCTGGGAGTGACTCCCACAGAAACATCTCCCTGCATGTGCCCCAAATTGCTCAGTTTTACAACACCCTTTTTGGGTTTCAGTTTTCTCTGGTTCAAGGAACTTGCCTAATTCCTAGGACCTCTAGTTCAGGCCACCAGCCAGTGCCCATTAGTAAATCACCCATTCATTTGAGCCAAGACTGTAATCTTGCCAATTTTCTTAAGGCAAAAATCTCAGAACCAGTGCTAGGATG